CTGATTAGTTTATCTGGGGCCCTGGCAGCAATCAGACAGGGAGCAGCTGGGCAGCTCTTTGGTGCTCCATTAATTGTGACAATGACTTTAACCCCAGTGTAATGCTGTGCTGCCCAGAGGCCCGGGGTGCACAGGATGGAGATCCTTGGGGCGGGAACCGGGATGTCCTGGCGCCCTCTGAAGAGCAGGACTTCTTTCCCAGGTCCCTGGAGGCTGGTGCTGCCGGTCCAAGGAGGCTCTGGCTGCTCGGGGCCGGATCCGCCCTGTGGCGGTAGTGAGCCCCTTGGCAGGTGTGTTCACACTGCAGCCTCTCAGGCCTCTTAGAGCCCTGTTTTACAGAGGTGGGCTTGGATAGTGGAGCCTGGCTGGCTGACCTCGAGGAAGTCAGGCAGAGGGGCTGGGGCAAGGCAGGGAGAGGCCTGAGCTGCCCGTGGTCCTCACGTTAGTGCTGTGGTGCGAGCTTGACCCCCTGGGGTCCCGGAGCATGGTGTAGTCGTCAGCACTCCTCCGTAAACCAAAGTCAGAGGTTTAGTTCCAGGGTACTTGCACATAGATGCTTATTAGATGAAGCAAATCAAGGGAAATAGACCTCTGCCTATCCCCTCCTGCTGCACCCAGAGCCCTTAAGAGTCCACTCCCCAGAGGATGAGGGGACTCCCTGAGCCACACCTGGAGGTGCCGGTAGAGAGCATTCTAGGCTTCGTTCCCTGCATGTCCAAGGGCACCTGGCTAATGTGAGGGATGCTGACACAGTCCGCCGGCCATGTCCTTTCTGCCCCCAGTGGGACTCCATCAACGAGGTGGACGAGTCCTTCCGGCCCATCCACACCTACCAGGTGTGCAACGTGATGAGCCCCAACCAGAACAACTGGCTGCGCACCAGCTGGGTGCCCCGGGATGGTGCCCGGCGTGTCTACGCCGAGATCAAGTTCACCCTGCGGGACTGCAACAGCATGCCCGGCGTGTTGGGCACCTGCAAGGAGACCTTCAACCTGCACTACCTGGAGTCGGACCGAGACCTGGGCGCCAGCACACAGGAGAGCCAGTTCCTCAAAATCGACACCATTGCCGCCGACGAGAGCTTCACGGGCGCGGACCTGGGGGTGCGGCGCCTCAAGCTTAACACGGAGGTGCGTGGCGTGGGCCCGCTCAGCAAGCGTGGCTTCTACCTGGCCTTCCAGGACATCGGCGCCTGCCTCGCCATCCTCTCCCTCCGCATCTACTACAAGAAGTGCCCGGCCATGGTGCGCAACCTGGCGGCCTTCTCGGAAGCTGTGACCGGGGCGGACTCGTCCTCGCTGGTGGAGGTGCGGGGCCAGTGCGTGCGGCACTCCGAGGAGCGGGACACGCCCAAGATGTACTGCAGCGCCGAGGGCGAGTGGCTCGTGCCCATCGGCAAGTGCGTGTGCAGCGCCGGCTATGAGGAGCGCCGAGATGCCTGTGTGGGTGAGTATGCCAGGCTGGGGGCCCGGCGCACAGACCGTGTGTGTGCGCTAGGCAGGTGGGCAACAGGCTCCAGGCAGGGAGCCAGCTCCGTGGGCACTGTGGAGGGTCCTGCCAAGGACACCAGTGGGATGGAAGGTACTGGGCTAGGGAGCAACCTACCAGCCAACTATGCCAGGCACCGAGCTAAGCACTTTCCAAGTATCAGCCCATTGAATCCCCGTAACCATGGCATGCTGTTAGGGGGGTCACCAAGTCAGTGCGAACTGCCAGTGACCTTGTGGACCAGAGAACTGCCCAGCCCTGCGCCATCGCCATCTACGGTGTCACGGCTACGCTTGCGCCCATTGCTGCAGCCACCATGTCAGTCTGTCTCCTTGCTGGTCTTCCTCTTTCTCGCTGACCTTCTGCCACGCTTGATGTCCTTCGGTAGGGACTGGTCTCTCTTGACAACAGGTCTAAGTACGTGAGACGAAGCCTCGCCATCCTCAATCGAGGGAGCACGCTGGCTGTGCGTCTTCCAAGACAGGGGTGTTGGTTTTCTGGGTGCCCCTAGCACTGTCGATGTTCTCACCCAGCCCCGCAATTCAGATGCAGGGGACCTTCTCCAGCCGTCCTGACTCAGCATCCAACCTTTGCCGGCAGAGGAGGTGCCTGGAAATATCAGGCTTGGCTCAGGCGCACCTCAGTTCTCAAAGTGACTTCTTTGCTCTTTGACACTTCAGAGAGGTCTCCCCAGATTTTTCCAGTGCAAAGTGTCGCTTGAGCTCTTGCCTGCAGCTTTCATGAGCGTCACATTAGGACCCTGGCAGACTAGTGGCGGGCCCTATGACATAGAAACACTTATTGTCCTGTATTGTTTTGTCTTTTTAATAGAGGAGGAAGGTGAGACACAGAGAGGTCAAACAGATGCACAGGGCCACACCGTCAGGACGTGGCAGAGCTGTGGTTTGGATCCAGGAGTCTGTGGTGGTGGTGGTGGTGGTGGTGGTGGTGGTGGTGGTGGTGGTGGTCTGCAGGCAGGGCCACCCAGAGAGCACTGTGTAGCCTGGAGGGTTGTCACTGGGACACTGGGACCACATCAGGGGGACTCACCCTGATACTTGTGGGTGAGGACATGGTTCTTGGGAAGGGGGACAGCTGGGAGTACTGGGCTACCACACGGCATAGCTGAGATGTCCTGCTGGGGTGCCTAGGTGACAGCAGGGGACATGCCTGTGCTTGGGTGAGCACAGACCCCAGGCTATGTGCATGTGTATGTGTGCTTGTGCGTACACACCTGCATATGCACAGTGTATATGTGAACATGCCGGTGTGTTTGCCTGTGTGCCTGTATGTGCATGTAAGTATGTGGCTGTGGTCAGCAGGCCTCTCTGTGGGGGCAGTGCAGCCAGCAGGTCAGAGAGAGCAGGAACCATCAGGAGACGGAGTGCAGACAGTGTCCCCGCTGTCCCTGAGATCAGTCTGGCTTTCCTGCCCTTCTCTGACCTCCCCAGGGGCTGCACATGTGTCAGCCTCCCCGCCACCCCCCACCCCGGCACTGGGAAGGCTGACCAGTGGGACCGTTGGCTCCCCAGCATGATGGGGTGCAGGGGAGGGGAATCTTCCACATAGGGATCAGAAGCCTGTGACCTGTCCCCAGGCATTCTCAGGGAAAACTGGGACAGGGACCCTGACAGCCACTAGGAATATCCTAGCCTTTCACTGGTAACACACAGACCCTGAAGCTATAAGGACCCATCCCTCTGTCCAAGGTTGCAGGACGAGCCCCACCACCACCACCACAAAGGCAATGTGAATGGCTTGTACTTGCCTGCTAACCTCAAGAGTAGCAATTTGAATCCATTGGGCAGTGTGGAAGAAAAGCCTGGGGATCCCCTGTTATAAGACTGGAAGCATGATGGTTTAGTTCCAGTGTGCCACACATGGGGTTGCCAGGCACCAGCCCGCATGGACGCCACAGCTTTTTACAGAATCCAGTTCAGTCCAGGTTAGGAGCTGTCTAGCCCACAGATCCCTAGACCCAAGGTCCTCAGTCTTGTCCCCGGCCCCTTTCCAGGCCCCACCTCCCCTCAGGCTCTCTGGTTTCTGTATGAAATCTTTCCTTACTCCCCCAACTGCTATGGGTCTTCACCTCTCTGGGGGCCCTGGTTGTTCCAGATTCACTTTTCTTCTGCAGCCTGCTTTGCTGGGCCCCCCAGTCTCTCCTGGTGCTTCTCTGGAGGAAGCCCGGACTTCTCAGCACCCTTCTGCATGGTCGCCATAACCGGCAGCCCTCCTGGCACTGCAACATTCCTTCCATTTCACAGATGGGGAGGGGAGGTGTGGTGCGGGGTCTGGCCAGTCCCTGAAGCAGGGCTGTCTCACGTCATGCCTAAGCCAAAGCTTTCACTCTCCCTGTGAGAACCAGGTCCCAGCACCCCCTCATACCCATAGAGCACCTTGGCGGCATTTTCTGGGTGTTGGCCAGGTGCCATGTGCCGGCCCATTGGGCTTGGCATCTGCTGTGCCCCAGGCCGGGAGGTCTTGCCCTCTCGGAGCTCCCGTGGAGTGGAGCTGTTCCTCTTCTTCATGACAGCTCCTGAGGTGTGTTATTGTCCCCAGACTGGGTGATACAGAACCACAGTTGCGGAGGCTGGACGTCCCAGTCAGGGTGTCCATGTTGGTGCTGGTGGGTCCTTCTGGAGCCAGAAAGAGGCTGCCCCATGCCTGCTCCCTGCTTCTCGTGGCACTCAGCCTTGGTGTCCCTTGCTTTGTGGGTGCATCTGCTATGTGCGTGTCCTCCTTGTTTATAAGACAACCACCCCCCCAGTGTCACTCACGGGAACTGAGAACAGCCACTTCCCCTTTCACAGGTACCTGGAGTTAGGATGGCTTCAGCATCTTCAACCTATACCAACCACTAAGATGTGTGTGTGTACACACATATGTATACATATGCATATACACATAGACATGTATTTCCATATATAGGGTTAGGTTTGAGTCTGCTAACCGCAACGTCAGCAGTTCAAAACCACCAGCTACTCCTGGAGAGAAAGAAGAGGCTTTCTACTCCTAGAAAAAGTAACAATCTCAGAACTCACAGGGGCAGTTCTACCCTGTCATATAGGGTCTCCATGAGTCGGCATCCATTCGATGGCAGTTTAGTTTTGAGTTTTATATTTTACGCCCACATGTACATGGGTGTATAAGTATACATATATACATAGAGAGAGAAAGAGAGCCCTGGTGGTGTAGTGGTTAGGCTTTGGGCTGCTAATTGCAAGCTCAGTAGTTTGAAAGTACTAGCTGCTCCTCAGGAGAAAAACGAAGCTTGCTACTCCTGTAAAGAGCGACAGTCTTAAACCCACAGGGGCAGTTCTACCCTGCCATATAGGGATATAGGGTCACTACGAGTCTCTCTCTCTGAGAGAGAGAGAGAGAGAGAGAGAGAGAGAGAGA